TGAATAAATGTCATCTTGGCGTTTAAGAGAAAGATAGGGCCAGATTCACAGCTGCAGTGAATCCACACAGATCCTTTAAGTTCAGTGATCTGGAAAGATTAAAGTAAGCAATCCAAAACAACTTAAAAGAGTTAAAGCCCAAGAAATAAGAGGTATATCAGAGATAAAAGTCCTAATGTTGTCCCTTGTGACTATTGGTGTAGGATTGCTCTTTACTGACTAATTTCTATGAGAGAGTTTAGAGCTCTTGCTACCTGGAAGAGTTACTTGGTATTCAATTAAATTTCCTTTTAGCTTTTTTCTGCAACCTAAATATTTCAATAGTGACTCACTGACACCCTAAACAACCTTATTTTTTCTCAAGCCTTTGTGGTAGGCCAAACTTTGCTCTTTGGGGTTTCATATTACTGATCTACATTCTTCAGAAGAGACTGGGGGTAGGATTATTCTGTCCAAATTTGGATATCCACAACGTAGATGTCAACACATGAGCTAGCTGTTAAGAATTCCTTTACTCTCAAAGGAGGGAAGTAGGAATGTTTCAAGCAGACAGCTAAAATAGGTCAGACAAATTACTTTCTACATATGTCTCCTTCTTTCCATTGATTATATAAAAAGAGACTTGACAACGAGCTCATATGTGAAGATCTGTCTTCTAGTTTTCTAAAATTAGGTGGCTTGTCCTAGGTCACTGAATGGCTGCTTCCCCGACCTTGCTTATTGCTTGCTAGTAAGAATCTCAGTTAATGTGGGAGAGGTACACCTTGTCCTCTAATATAAATTATGAAGTTGATGTACTACATTCAGGATGTTTTAGGAGGGAAAATGTAAAATGCACTAGCTTCCACACCTTCTATTGACATCCTAAAGGAGATGAACAGAGCATCAATTACATAACTTCTGTTCCTATATAAGCCAAAGATAAGCAAACTGTGCCTGTGGAGTTCCCTTTACTGGGGAGAACTTGGAAATGCAGAGGGAAAGGTCTATGAACCAGATGAATTAGTGACAGCTGGAATATACTCTTTGGCACCTTCTGTCTTGTGTACCCCCTCATTCTCCGTCTATGTTTATTTTGCATAGGGGAATATACTTAATTCCACTACGATGGAAAATTGTGCATGGACTAGAAGACTTTGCTGCAACACAGAGTATTCAGCTTACACATGCTGGTCCCACGTGTTCTCAAATGCCTTTAGATTTCTGTACTTGTGTAGTAGTTCAGCCATGCTGCAGGAAAAGGATGTGGTGGGCTGCTCAGGCTAGAGACTGAATTAAGATTAATTAATTAATGAATTCAAATTTGGTCACCACTGATTTAAGCTGCTATGGGTCAGCTTCAAAATTTATTTCTTTCTTTCAAACCATGGCACAAATCCCCGAGGACCATAATCATGAGCCTAGAAGACCAGGTTATTTCTTTCTTTTGGGTGAGATCTTACGAGCAGGTAATAACTGCCTTATATGATCACTAAAAATCCTCTTTCATTCATTCTAAACTAGTTTGACTTAGTTCTAGACGCTGTATTTATAGTGAGGTGTGAATCTTTTAGGCAGTGATTCTTTCATCCCTTCCTAGAGAGTAGGAACACCTAACTTGGAAAGGTCCCACTATCTCTTTTTGTTGATTAGTGATGTCATATTCCACTTATTAAAAAGCTGCTCTTACTGTACGCACTTGGCACTGACTGGCTTCTCATGATGGGATTCTTCCCACCATCGATTAGGCCTTTACAACGTATAGTCCACAGGTGAGCTAAGCACTCCACAGTTCCTTTACAGATAGGGGAAGGAACCAACAGCAGGACATGCTTCATCAGAGCTGCTCCAGCCTGCCCATAAGGGCCTATCGTTCTCCACTGAGACACACAAAGAATCTGCTGTGCCACTGAAGATGTCTACAGTGGAAAGATGAATCCTCCTTTATAGATGATACATGTCTTTCTTAAGTCGGCACCGGATCAAAATAAGTTTGTTTGTTTGTTTATTTTTAAAATTCTTTTTCCTCCTATGCTTCAGCCATGCTTGAAATAGTGCTCTGAAGACTTTATAGGATCTCCCACTCCTTTTCAATAACCAATGGTTTTCAGATTCTCAGCCACTTCAACAGCCTTCCTATTTCACCAGAGGTATTTGAAGATCTAGTTATTTTGGGCAGCTGTATTTTTCTCCTTGAAGGGTGCAACCCCCACACTGTTGACTATTCTGGCTTCACTAGTTTTAATTACTAGTACAGCAAAGGGATGAAGCACCAACATCTCTAATTTACTAATGAAATTTTAGAGTTTGGCTCTCAGTGGCAACAGGAGTCTGTTTAATAATTCAGTTTTTCCTTCCAAGTCTCATATTCATATTTTTATTTCTTTTCCTAGTATTGAAATTGAGATGCTTTAAAAATATTTCCTTTACTTTAAAAAGTTCATCTGTTTTTGTAAACCATATTTGACTGTACCTGCTTGGGAGAAAATTAGCCATTTTTTAGTAATAGCTGGACTCTGCACCTGTTCAGAATTTCATACCTGTTAGGAGAGCCCAAAAAACACATGCAGATTGCTCTGCAGGTTCGGGAAGAAGGCTCTGCAAGACTGGTAGCTGTTATTACCTAATAAGCACTTGGGCTTCTGTGGATGATATGAAAGCCTCAGTCCAGTTTGTGATTCAGGTTTCCATGGCTACCTTGAAGGCAAAAATGAAGTTGATTCTTTTACTTTCTCTGGAAAATGTCAAAGAAAGGCAGCAAAATGGTTAGCAGATGTTCTCTTTGCCTCTTTAGAAATTCTTTGGAAATTAAAGTAAAAGGGATAAACTTCTGTCTCTGCTCTTCAAGCCAAGTGGATGCCAGGTTAAAGCAAAGTTGGGTCTTCAAATGACAGAAAGAGAGTATTCTTAAAGTTATGATTTTCCCATAGGATGTTTGTCCACTCATTTAGTCAAACATCTCCCATCCTTCTATTGCATTTATATTGTATATCTGATGCATAATAGTGGCAGAAGCCGAGAACAGAATTCGATCTCCACACCACTCTTTGGCCTTTCTGGCCAGGCCTGTGCACGGGAGTGCCAGTTATCAAGAAATAATCTTAAATCCAATGTCTGCTGATGTGTCTGTCTGGTTTTCTGTTCCTTCTGCTAATGGAGTGACTTTCCTTTTCCATCTCTTTGCTGCTGAATGTCATCACGAATGTTTTCTGTCCTCCTCAGCTGAGATCTTATCAGTCCCTCATTATTTGATAAACCATCAGAAATACAGTTAAGTAATTAAATTCAGTACCAGAGCAGAGCGAGAGTGACTGATCAAGGGAGGATAGAAGAAGGTAGATCAGTTCAGAGGGAATTTTATGAATCATCGTCCTTCGATTAGACAGGGTCTGGATAGAGAGGACAGAAATCTAGAGATGGCTTAATTTTCTTTTTTTTATTTTTTAATTGAAAGACTCCCTCCTTTCTAAATGCTGATGCCTTGGCAGTACCTTGCCATCAGTATAAAAATTGAGTGTCCCCTGACCATGCCGTTCTCTCATATTTCCCTTTGTCATTCTTTTGTTTACCTTCTGTCTGTTTTCTTTTTAGTTCTTCCTCCTTTGTTATACTTCCTCACATTTTCTCTGATTATTATTTCATAATAGTTTCCCAATATACATACTCCACATATTTAATTTATTTTTTAATTTTCTTCATTATTTCTATATCATTTATTCCTCTTTTGTTATTAGCTGTGATCACTTTTTTTTCCCTCTTATATGTATTCATTTACCTGTTTAAACATTTCTCAAGTTGTGAAGATACATGTCAGTCATATTTATGCCCACAGAGGTGCTAGGTGGTGGAATGCAGAAATCCTACATATGACAATAAGTTTTTAATAAATAAATAATAGTAAATATATAACATGGATGAAGGACAGTTCTCTGGCTCTCAGACAAACTGATGTGGCAGAGTTTATGTTTGTCGGAATAAACTCCCCTAAGCAGAGAGGTCTCATCTTCACTATTATAACTATAATCAAAGGACCTCGGGCTGACTTCATTTTGGAGGAATAAGGTCTGGTAGGTAGAGGTAAAATGAAGGGGAGCCATCTCAGGTGATGGGCAACTAGGAAAGGAAAAAAATAAATCTGAAAGTATATCTCTGGGGTAAAAGCCTGCCTTTAGGTAGGACAAGAGAGATCTCTGTCACCAAAGCATGAATATCTGAGGCAAGATAATGTTTAGAAAGGTGACACTGAGCAATGTGGTTTGCATCCAGCCAGAACCTGAGACAGAGAGGTTCTCCTGAATATTATATAACTATTTTTGGAATCGTCATGACCCAGATTGGGTGGGAATTTTGAAATACTAGGTCACAGCAGGAGGTGTTAGGATAGAATTAAAGTCAGGGGCATAGTTCTGTTTAGTTCTTTGGATGAAACCAAGCAGTAGAAGTCACAGATATGCATGACATATCAGTGACCAAGGTAAGTCAGTCCTAACTTATGTCATGAATGAATCTTCAGGATTTCTGAGGGCACTTTTCATTCCTTTGTGTCTCTGTTGTTGAATGCCTAAAAAGCTATCAGATTAACAGCTCTGAACATGGATTTTGGTATCTGGAAAAGTGATCTCAGGGAGTAAATCATCAAGTCATACAACGTCTTAAAAAGCCCTCACTCACAATTCTGAGCCTCTGCTGAAAATCACGAGGGTCAAATTTTGACTTCAGAAGCGAGGAAGACATTCAAGTCCTTTTTCTGGTTAAAAATACTCTACTCTATGTTTCCTCTGGATGCAATTTAGGTCTTTGCTATAATGAAATCTGTTTCAGTAGTTTCTATGATCCAAGTTATTGATCACACTTGTCCTTGGGCTTTAAATTAAGTATCCAAGACCAGCTATAATAGCTGCAAAACAAATAAGTATGGTGGATCGCACAGTTGAAGTGCTATGTTCTCTGTTCTGTGTCCATTTCTTTCTCATTCTCTTCATGTTTTCTATATTTATAATCATCATCCTGTTTCACTGCAGAGATCTGAGCCTTGACGTGAAGGCATTGACAATAGCATCTGCAGCGACCGTGCACTTCAGCTTTAATAATAGTGTTAAACAGGCAGAACTTGACTAAAGATCAAAATCAAGAGAGATGGCCATCAACTGGAAGACCTGCTTCTTCACTTTCACGTTGCTTCCTCTGGTAAGGAAAGATGTTTTTATTTGTGTTATGGTGGTTTAAATGCATGCTCTTAAGGCCACTATTTGCTTAGGGTGAAGGATCTGTCGTTGACACTGATTCTGGCTTTTTCTGTGTGGCCTCATAGTTTTGGTTAGGTCTTTTCCAGCTTTCCTTGTAGATAAAGTAGAACAGCGATCATGTGGCTGGGGATAGGCTGTGTAGATTCATTCTTGTCCACCGTACCCATCTTCACTGTGGCTGCATCTAGTCTCACACAAAAGCAATAAGACCATGGAATAAAGAATGCCTTTTCCCTTTGTAGCCCTAGGGAATAGTATACAGTGCCTATAATTAAACTCATCTTGCATTGCAGATCAGTTCTTGCTAGACCATTGTTCATAACCGCTTTTCACTACTTCTGAATAAGCATTTTACTGAGGAATACCGTGAGAAGTAGCACTTTAAAATCCTCTGTCTTGTTCTTATTAATAGCTCTCTATAACTTTGACAAAAATGCTTTACAATTGCTTAATACACAGACATTTGTATGTTTCTACACTTTAAACAGATATTTCAAAGGATTCTTGAAACACATTTTATTTTTAAATTAAAACTATTTAACATAATAGTGACATGTCCAGAGTATTTTTTAGCAATTCTTAGAGTTTCTTGTTGGTGTGTATCGACTGTGAAACATGTTTTTTGCAATGCATAGCAGTCGGCATATACTACTCTGCTTTGACTCACATAAATGCACATTCTTGCCTCTCAGATCTTATTTAGAGAACACTTTAATTAACAGCATGTCTAAAACGTAGCATTAGTCAGCTAAATTCTGTAGAATGGGAATGGGACTGGTAGTATGTTTCTATTAATCAAATAATATAGCCTACCTCTTACCATACAAATATCTGATATTTTGATTCATTTGTAGTGCATGATGCTTATATTTATCACCTAGCTTTTCTGGTCGAGTAGAAAACATTATTCATAAACAAAGTGGGCATGTTTAACTTTTGTACTGTATGTCTGAGCCGGTCATGCTAGACTTCCTCTAAGCCAAAGGCTGGTGGTGGGGAACGACCCATAAGCAAACATATTTTAGATGCTTATGTTAGTATGAGGTGTTCTGTCTGCTGGAGGTGCAGATATCTCTCCATCGACAATAAAGGAAAGTTAGCTCACGTTTGGATGCTGTGTTTTTAGACATAAATTTCATTGCATAACCCCACTTTGTCATTTCTGGTTTGCGACCCATTTATGACAACAGCGCTCTTAGGAATTGCCGTCACTCTCACTGACACTACTACTAAATGCTTATCTTTTACACGGCGAGTCTCAGTGAGACTCATCGTACACTAGGTAAAACTGGAAAGTATATTGGTAGAATGGTTGAATTCCTGGGTATGAAAGCATATTTTTTGTACTGGAAAAAAAAAATTACATGATCACATGAAGGAAAGAGTAAAAGATATTTTGAAGTGAACAGTGAGCTTGAATGTTTCAGAATTTTTGGTGTTCAGCTTGAGACATCCAAAAGGCATCTTCTTTTTTAGAGGTGAAATGCTTTTAATTAAGGAAAATAAATGTAACTTAACACATCTCTTGAGCTTTCAGATGACCTTCCTGGCAAACATGAAAGGACAGTAAGTCACAGTTTCCAAGTCGTACCATTTCAGGACATAGCTGTGATCACTGAGCTGGATAATTAGTGATCAGCTCTAACTTTTGGAAAGAACAGCTCTCTAATGAAATACTATGAAGCAAACCAGAGTTAATAAGAATAAATATGCTTTTAGCTGTGCTGTTTTTGCAATGGTTATGAGCTTGTTTATGAGTGCAAGATTTTATTATAGTCTCCTGCAGGAATACAGGCAGTAAAATTAGCCATTTTACACATATGAGCTTTTGTATATGCACACACACTTTGGTCACCGAAGAGATTTCGGCCCATGACAGAGATTGTGCTGTAAATTGTATATACGGAATTATCCATTCTTTATTTCCTCCTTAAAGTTTCTTTTCATGGACTGGAGCTCAAGGAACTGTAAGCTATTTACGATCCTTCCCTTGCTGGGCCTCTTTTGTAATGCTTATGGTAACAGATTTTCTCTCCACTGGGACAGACTTGCTCTTCAAACTACCTCTTACCTGCTGTGTTCATGTTCTCATATTGATACTTTCCTGTCATGCAGATTTTCAGATTTTCCTCCTTACACAGAAGTAATGTTTTTACTAAGTATAGGCCAGCTGTATGTTATTTTCTCTTGTAGTCTTGTCTTCCCAAACCTTGAGCCTCCATCAGTAAACCTTGTCTTTGTCCCCTTGCTAAATCTATGTGGTTTGGGGATGCAGTAGGAAAGGGAATAAAACTGATGGAGAAGCCTAGGTGAGTCATTTTCCCTAACCTAAGACATTAGCGTATAGCTTTGTGGACGGGGGTGGGACCCGACCATTCTCAAAATGTAGTGTGAGGGGCTGCACTGCCAGCTGTGTTCTGGGGAGAAGTTCCTCTCGGGGACATGAATGAGTTCGTCTTCTGCAAGATGGCAAAGAAAAAGAGAGGCCACAGGCTCTGAGTAAATTCTGTGGTGTCATCAGTTTGTTGCAGAAGCTCCGCCTTGACTGGGAGTGACATTACTTTGAGATGCATCTTCTAGGGGTTGAAGTTCACAGCTGAATTTTAACAAACATATAGAATGTGCTGAACACACTCGTATGTGGCATTACAGGAAAATTCTAGGTGACCTCAAACGTAGGTGTCTATGTGGCTATTTTAGTTGCTCTTTAATCTATTTATTGTTATTTAGACCATTTATTTTCAATTTCCTTTCTTTTCTGTCTTGTCTGAACATCCCCTGTCTTCATTTGCACCTCAGTTCTCTTCACCCTACCTACTCTTTCCTTCTGAATTTGTTTTCACTGCCATTTGCTTTATTTCCCATTCCATTCATCCACGATAACAGTAGTCTTGTGTTTTTTTTTTTTTAATTGGAAATATTAACAAAAGTCATTATAAAATTATTGAGGAGATAGGATCCTGAAACATGGTTCCTTTGTCTGGTTCCAAATGTACTTGAGAAACAATGAACCTCATGACTCACAAAGTTGGCTTAGTATATGAACTGAATTTAAATGTAACTGCAATGCAGGTGCTCTAACTGTCTGTAATAATTCAATCAGATGTATTTCTTGAACTAATGCTTGCAATGTCTTGTGGATGCATATTTAATATTGCTAAGCTTAAACGTTTCAGATGATAAGATATTCTTTGCAGTGTTTCATTAGCCAAGCGGCTTATGTTCATCAACATCCTTAAAAAAAAAGGGGGGGGGGGGGAAGAGAGAGAGAGAGAGAGAGAGAGATGAAAATGGAAGGTGAAACTGGTGCCTCTTGTATACCAACATCGAGGTGTGATTACTGAGTGAGGGTCAGGTAAGTAAATACAAATCTGGATATGCTGGCAGCATCTCACAGATCAGAGAACCAGATCTCTACCTGGCCACATCCAAGCCTCCACTATTTAAGAGATGAGGAGAGAAACTACATCTGTTTGCTCAGGTCCTGTTTGCTGAATGGGAAAATATTTCTCAGCCTGTTAAAGGTAAATCTCTGCTGACCAGAGAGCTATCTGTATTCTCTGTATTCGTGGGTAGCTGTCACATCTAGTACCAGGGTACATTCAGATAGGACATTTCAGTCTCCATCAGTTTTTAAAGATGGGAGACAGTATTTTCAGATGCGCTGTTCCATTAGTTTCTCTCCTTCCCTGCTATATTTATGAGGGTATCTATTTTCTGTTGAAGCTTAAATGTGATATTTCTCAGCCACAAATATAAATGGTCGTATTGTTTCCTGCTTTTTAAATAACCTAATTTTTTTCTGTGTAGGACTTAATGAGCCGATTTTTAATGAGTTTATCTATCTGCCTTATGGTTCATAAGGTCTCATAACTTGACTAGAAAAGTCAGGTTGTCTTTACAATTACAATAGTCTCTAAGACAATACACACTTACATGGAATTTGTCTGTTACTTATGCAACTTCACAGCAGTTCCTGTCCAAATATGGCCAGGGACCTCCTCCAGAGGAGAAAAACCTCAACAAGGCAAGGTGTTACTGTTTCTACAGCTTTTCTTTTTTAACATAAGGAGAGGGTGCTGGGAAAACCAGTAGAACATAAAGTTGCCTTAAAAGCTTATGTCTTTTTAAAGGCAAATAAATAAATAAACAAATAAATATTAGGATACGTAATAGTGGGTAGTTTCAAAGAGAAGGTTGAGAAATTCTGGTAAGGTCTACCACAAGACCACCTGAGGCAATCCATGTTGCAAAATAATTCCAGTGCCCCTCGATACTACCTAACCTCAAGCGCCTTTCTGAGACACAAAAACGAGGATCTCACTTTCACATGGTACTTAGGCTCCCAACAAGGTGAGATGAGCACTTCCAGAGGGCAACTGAGTCCACCCGAGATCTCCGTAAGTCCCAGCATTTCTCAGAGAAAGTATGTTGGCACTGCTGTCTAAGATGCTCGAAGCTGGTGGGAGACCTTGGTGTTGCGTTGGTGCTCTGTCTAGCACACTGGCACACGTAATCTCAGCCTGGGGACTTCAGGTGTCAGTTATGATTATAGTGGAAGCTGCAGAAAGACACACACACAGTTAAAAAGTTATTAAGCTTGTTTCTTAATACTTTTACATGAATCGCAACGAAAAAATAAACTCTAGAGATAAACACCTTTTACCAATGCCTGGTTCACAACGCTATGCACACACATAGGTATCTGCATGTAGCTTTCCTTATTTAGTCTGGCAAGGTATCTGGGTCTTAGACGTGCGTGGTAGCAGATTACAAAGCAGGAAATGGTTGCCCTGCATTAATGCCTTCAGTTTTTTGCCCTCTAGTAGTAGTAATAATTTCTGTGACAGGCAAATAATATGATGACAACACTGATTTAGGGACATTAATATGATTCTTTTCCCTGCTGGTTTGTATTCATGAGCTTGGAGGAGCATTGGA